AAAAGTTCAAAAATGGAAGGGTGGTCGTGATCTCTATGGAGAAATGAGTGAGAAATAATGAGTTTTGTAAGACAGGTTGACGCCCAACCGCTAGAACATAACAGTCCATATGCTTTTGTATCCTGACCTCTACACTGTACTAGTAGCAACGCTTCAACACTTTCGGCCCTGGCGATGGCAATTGCCATTTAGAAGTCTGCATTACCGGCGAAACAGCAAATTTTCTATTACTCCTGCCAGAGTTCGCTTCAGACAAGCTTTTCCTTTAAAATTTTGCTTTACACCAGCCATTTCATAACGTGCATTACAATCATTTGTGTATGAGTACAACGATGATACCCGCTGCCTCCGCAACCTGCTAAGTTGGTAACTATTTCCAAAATACTTCGAGTACATTCTAGCTTTCAAAACCGTGAAGTACAAGGTTGTGAAGACCATAAATGACTGATTGTGAGAAATTTGGAATCACTTTCACATAGACTTAGAACAAAGAAAGCTGTGGCAATCCTGACAGCTTCCTAGTTCCATAGCTTACGTTGGAAAAGATTCCAAATTTTGCTGCAATGTTATGTATTTCCTAATAAGTAACCACTATGAGCTGGAATAATTTCTTCTCACAGAAAAATTCCAAGGCCGAAAGTGTTACGAGCAATAAAAATGTTTTGTAGGAAGTAGAATAAAGAAGTAGAGTAGGAGTAGAAATATTAAAAGTACTACTTCTTCTTCGATGAGCCAAAACCACCGAAACCCATCATTGCTTTGAGTTCGGGATCCAGATCGTCCTCCTCGGGGAGTGATTCAATCAGCTTTCGCTTCCGTTGCTCGACTTTCTTCTCCTAAGAATGAAACTGACTTTCCCCAAGCACGTTCATTGGAGCGCTCTCACGAAGCACAGACTTTCTACACGAGACGATAAGAGAAAAGCACCTTTTTGTAGTCGTTCATTTTTGCTTCCTCTTCATAGACATCTCCCAGTATCTCCTCCATATTCTTTTGCTTTTTCTCATATTCCTCTGATGAACCAATTTTGAACTATTACTAGTTAAAAGCCACAAAAAGACTAAAATTAACAACATACTTTCTGCCATTTTTAGTTTAAACCGCTCCCTGACATCATCCAGTGTGCTTCTTTTGACCTTCATGGACATTCCCATGTTCCTGCAATGTCACTATATGCCGCACCCGGAGCTCTACAGAAAATTACCAACCTTTGGTGATTTTTTCCGTTTATATGATCAAGGAAATTGATCGAATCTTTGACAACACAATCGCAAACATCACAGTAATAACCACCAGTTTCAGCTGCAGGAGTAGTTTTGTTTATAACTACGGATCGACCCAGTTTTGATTCAAGATCAACCTAAATGTGTCTAAGTTCGGAACAAAAAATCACGTGAACCAGTAAAAAGGTTGCGAGCCGGTAATAATACATCAAAAATAAACAACAAACATGCACACCTTGTAATCTCTGGCCTTCAGCAATTCTCTTTTCACTTTTGGTTCATCTTTTGGTTTACCGCCTCTCTTGGTAACATCTCATTTTTCTGCTTTTATTCGTTCCAACGCTTTTCTTCTCGAACTCTTCCTGAACAGTGACCACTAGTTCTTGTGCTTTCAAATACACTGGTGAAGCATCCAAACCTGGTCCCATTTTCGCCGATGATCGATGCTAGCTGCGCTTGAGCCGGCCTGTTCGTAGTAGGACATCACGCACCTGGCACATAATATCTATATCACAAGAAACAACTAGAAAATGCTTAGAAAGGAACAAATTCGCAAGGAAAACAGCCGCACTCACCTCCCCGATTTTTTTTATTTCTATGCAACGTGGCTAAGCGCCAACTCATTACAATATGTGCAATTACACAAAGTTACCACTACAGTGTCTTCGTGGGGCCGGGTGCAGCAAGCCCCAACTAGGGGAGGGATCCCCAACCTTGGGGATATGTCCCCAACCTTGGGGATATATCCCCAACCTTGGGGATATATCCCCAACCTTGGGGACATATCCCCAACGTTGGGGACATATCCCCAACCTTGGGGATCCCTCCCCTCACCCAACTAGGGGAGGGATCCCCAACCTTGGGGATGTATCCCCAAGGTTGGGGATATATCCCAACCTTTGGGGATACATCCCCAACCTTGGGGATACATCCCCAACCTTGGGGACATATCCCCATCCTCGACATTCTACGAATCGTTCAAGGGTTTCGTCGCAGGACCCAGTGCTTCCGCACCTCGAAGGCTCACGGACCATTAACACGTTGACGACAGCGCAGGACGCATACGTCCCGCCTTTTGCAGGCCACGACGGACAACGCGGGACGTATGCGTCCTGCACCCAATGCACTCATTTATTTTCGCGCACACGTGATTCATTTATAGGTCTCTTGTATCCATTCTATGGAGCAAACCTTAGCATAGATACAAACATAGCGGCTCCCAGAATGGTCACCTATGCTTCACTTTGGAGGAGGTTTTCTGAAAACCGCAGTCTGGTTGATTTTTTGTTTGCATTTTCTTTTCATTTAATGTGAATGTCGAAATAGTGGTATAAGTCAATACGGAACCTGAACGGGACAAGATATGTTTTGATTAGAAACATCGATGCTAAATTGCCTTTGACGCCCAATGCAGGCAATTCAGACAAATTTTGCTTTTTCACCGTTACTTCATTCGTATTTCGATAAATTCTTACTACTGCACCTCTAGGGCGTTTCTGCAGACTGAAAAATACTAATCTGATTCCGTATCAATCTTGTTTTTTACATTTATCACGCAAAATTCGCTCGATGGACCTGAGGCGGCGGCGCTCGCAAAATCGCGCCGGTCCCACGCGGTCAAGGTAGGTTTTTAACTAATTAGGTGGGGAATGGTGTGGCGCCAAACTGGCGCGAACGGGCGTCAGCGTCAAAAGCGATTGTCATATTTGTGATCAAACCACCGGACTACCCCCTCAACCCAAGTTTCAAAGATATCTTTTTTGCCTTGGGGTTCAGTGCAATAGTCTTAAGTAAAAAATGCCTTTTCAGCTAAATATCTAATATGTCACTATCCCAGTATTCTGTCGCCTACCAGCCTAACTTCCGAATTCGTGAACTATGAAAGCGGCCACCCTCAATCCCTTGGGAATCCAGCAACTCCGATGGACTGGGCATGTTTTCAAAAAATTCCATTGTTTTCTTGATTTTCAAGGAAGTGGCGAGTTTTTTTTATTTATTCATTTATTTATTTATTTAATTATTTATTTACCTACTTATTACTTTTGTTATGTCCTCCAATGACGCGCTCTTACACATAGGGTAGGAAAGGTGAAATAAACCCTGAATAGATGCCAAATAAACAAACAAACAAGAGGATCGAAGCCTCATTAGAAAACAGCGAATGAACAAAGGCAAGGTAATGACGAAAAAAGAAGAGCGAATAACGAAGCGAAACAAAGGGTGAAAGAACCCGAAACAGCCTTCAACTTCTCCGCGTCGCCAAGTGAGGGGACGAATCCCCCTAGTCTCGACTAGGGGGATATATCCCCTGCCTGCAGAGACGCAGAGGGTCGACGGCAGTGACCGTCCCGCACGGTTGCGTCATAGGAGCCACCGAAAAACGATGGGTCTTGCGACGAAGTAGGGGATATATCCCCAAGGTTGGGGATATATCCCCAAGGTTGGGGATATATCCCCAAGGTTGGGGATATATCCCCAAGGTTGGGGATCCATCCCCAAGGTTGGGGATCCCTCCCTTCCCTGTTGGGCTTGCTGACGGCCACATAGACAAAAAGGGAAGCGAGGGTGGTCGGTGTGATGATGAATTGGATGTTATGATTTTGTTGAGTGCTGTTGGGTAACAAATGTTGCTATATATTCACCAGTTGGCGCCGCACGCATTGCGCGCGCAACACAGATCTGTGGCGAATTTTGATGGTGCGACGAAAAATTTCAAATTTGGCTTGATACAATACGAATATCTGAATTCTCCGCTAAATTCTATGCGCTCTTTCTTCGTCAACCATTATCCTATTTTTCTCGGTCCTCGGCCCGGACAATAAATCTCGTGGCGAACTCCGTCTACTTCGGTGCGTGCCCTGCCGACCAATAGCATTTGGCTCCCTTCTTTTCGCCGACCTCTACCCCCTTTTTCTCACCGGTCTCTGGGACCTCTTGGAACCAAATTACGGCACTTTTGGCAAACTCCGCCCACTTAGGTGCGTGCTCTACCCACTAATAGCATTTGACCTCCTTTCCTTCGCCGACCTACTCCCTTTTTCCCAGCCTCCTGGACTTCTTGGGGCCGAGTTATGAATTTTCGTCGCAAACTCCGCCCACTTTGGTCATGTCCCTCCCACCATTGACAGCTGGCCTCCACTCCTCCACCCACCTCCATCCACCTTTTCCGCGGCCTCAGGGACTTCTTGGAGCCAAGTCATGAATTTTCGTCGCAAACTCCGCCCACTTTGGTCAAGCCCCGCCCACCATTGACAGCTGGCCTCCACTCCTCCACCCACCTCCATCCACCTTTTCCCGGCCTCCGGGACTTCTTGGAGCCAAGTCATGAATTTTCGTGTCGCAAAACTCCGCCACTTTTGGGTCAGGCCCCGCCCACCAATGACAATTAACCTCCACTCCTCCACCCACCTCTATCCACCTTTTCCCCAGCCTCCGGAGCTTCATGGAACCGAGTTATAAATTTTCGTCGCAAACTCCGCCCACTTTGGTCAGGCTCCCGCCCACCAATGACAATTAACCTCCACTCCTCCACCCACCTCTATCCACCTTTTCCCCAGCCTCCGGAGCTTCATGGAGCCGAGTTATAAATTTTCGTCGCAAACTCCGCCCACTTTGGTCAGGCCCCGCCCACCAATGACAATTAACCTCCACTCCTCCACCCACCTCTATCCACCTTTTCCCCAGCCTCCGGAGCTTCATGGAGCCGAGTTATAAATTTTCGTCGCAAAACTCCGCCCACTTTGGTCAAGCCCCGCCCACCATTGACAGCTGGCCTCCACTCCTCCATACACCTCTATCCACCTTTTTCCGGCTCTTTAGGACTTCCCCGACCCGAATTATGAGGGCTTGTAGAAAATGCTGTACACTTCAGAGCGCGCCCCGCCCATTCTGGGCGGGCCTCCGCCCACGTCATGTATGCAGGAAACACCTTAGACATTGCTCCCTTACACCAATTGTTTTCTGCTCTGTAGGCTTTCTCCCAACCGAGTTATGAAATTTTTCATAAAGCACTGCTTTTTTAGAGAACGCCCCGCCCACCGGGGGTGGGTCTCCCTAATTCGATGTGACTTACCAATGCACACCTTTACCCACTTTTTGGCCCAGTTTCGAGGTCGTTTTGTCACTGAAATCGAAATCTTGGTCTTCGGTACAATTCATTTCGACGCACGCCACGCCCTCTGTGGGCGGGGCTCCGCTTAGCTGATGTGTGTTTTGTATTACGTGAGACCCTGCCCACCCATCCCACACTTGACCCGGTCCCTCCAGGCGGATCCCGAGGAGCTAGGGAATTTCGTGACAGACATACAGAACGACAGACGACAGAACGACAGACAGAGGACGACAGAACGACAGACGAAGCGCTTTATAGTAGTAGATAGGGGATTGTGATGTGAAAGTCGCTGCCGCCTACAGAAATTCCAGTTTTGCAGTGGGAGGGGATCCCGCGGTGCGTGAACCGTTTCGCTTCTGCCTTTATACCCATTCCGAGCTTCCTTCTTCTGCTAAAAATAGGGACCACTTCAGGCGATATGAATTGTTCTACCTTACTGAATGAGACCCCAAATGTTTCACCCACAACAAAATTTTACCATAACCTTCGCATCGTGCACTTCGGCTGGAAACAGCAGCTTAGAAAGCAAAACAACTCAAAAACAAATAAAATGTCCGGAAACAAGTGAGTAGCATATGTCCCCGCTTTGTGATGTCCGCATATCGATTGGACTGTTCGCGTGCACAAATAACAAGGCATCAATTTTTCCATATGAACCAATACAACCATTTGCAGCAGACCAGCTGTAGTCTATGTTTTCACTGCTCCTGCAGGTCAGCCAAACACAAAATCTAGCATCAGGGACCAAGCGAAGGGTCTGAAATACCCCACCATTTAAGTGGTACTGGCGTTCGATGTCCCTAACGCGGTATATAATCCC